TCCTCAACGACAACGGCAACGAGAACGACAACAACAACACCACAACCACCACCAACAACAACAACAACAGCAACAGCCGCTATAGCAACAATAGCAACAACGACAGCAGCAACAACAACAGCAACAACAACAAAAGCCACCACAACCACAACCACGACCACGACAACAGCATCAATGACGACAATGACGACTACCAGTACAGCTGCTGCTCCTACTACTGCAACTGCTACTGCTACTGCTACTGCTACTGCTACTGCTACTGCTACTGCTACTGCTACTGCTACTGCTGCTTCTACTTCTACTTGTACTTCTACTTCTACTTCTACTTCTACTTCTACTTCTACTTCTACTTCTACTTCTACTTCTACTTCTACTTCTACTTCTACTACTACTACTACTACTATTCCTGCTGCTGCTGCTGCTGCTGCTGCTGCTGCTGCTGCTCCTACTGCTACTGCTACTGCTACTACTGCCACATTTCACGCATGACTTGATTCCAGCATTCACCACTACCACCACCACTACCACGCGGAGCAGGCTAACAGTCCAGCGGCCTTCTGCATGAGCACAGCAATCGACATGGCCCTGATAACCAGCCTCACGTCAGGAGGGAATCTGTTCGCAAACGCTGGACAAGAGCTGTCAATCGTTGTCATAGTCGGAAATGTGTACTGCGCTCATGCACGCAAACGCATCTGGCGCTGCACGTCCTCAGGACACCGCCAATGCTCTTCCGAACGGAGCCTACGTCACTGACTCCGTGCAGTGCCAGACGACCCTTGGTTGGGCAAGTTGCAGACTCCATGACCACCCTATGAAGTATAACCTTATGCGAAGCAAGCCCTGAAGCCACGAAGACAGTGACCTGCAATAGCCCATACATACAGGCGTTCAGATACCACGGTCTGCTCCAGACTTTCGATATGCAAATCCGGTGCAGCGTGAGGTCAGCAATCTTTGCCTTAACCTTGCCTTAACCCTCCTCGTTGGACTGAGAGCTCCTTGCCATCGGCATGACTAGTGCAAGCATAATATTTAGTCAGAGAGCCGGTGCCATCGTCGCAAGTCTCGTAGGCTAAGCGGCGTGCTCCCAAAACCTTGCGATGTGGGAATTCCCAACAACAGTAGCCTGAGCATCCTGTACACCGACGCCTGAAGGCCTGACAGCAATGAGCAAAGGCCGGTACATAGATTATACTATATTCCCAGGATTCTATGCACGATAAGAGGCAGTATTATTAACAAGAATGGCGCTCCAGCCAAGAGCCACTCCAACAGTCTTGTGCCTGCTGTCGTCTTCAGGAGCTGCAAGACGAGCCTCGGCATCTACCCGATTTCAAGGATTTGCTCCAGATCGAGGTACTCTTTAAGCATATTTGAAGGGTCAGCATGCGCGAGGGAGGTGTTCCGTGCTTCTTGGCAAGTGGGCCAGTTGTCTTGCATATAGCAAGTTTATGAGAGTGGCTATGTACGATAGCAATGGCTAGCCAAAGTAGTGGTATTCACAGCTGAGGATGCCAGACTGCACCCACTTCACCTGGAAGGAGGACTCCTTTCCTGGTGGCGCCCGCTCTTCAATGAGTTTCCTGCGGGGTCAAGATAGACCACGCGAAAGAACGACATGGAGCTGCGCGCTAGATTTCATGGCATGCTTTTGCATGATGCACCACTGCGCATATGCATCTCTTTCAACAGCACGGTCAAAATCATAGTTGTGCAGATGTTACTGAAAGCTCTTTACGGCTCCATGGTTTTATCGGACAAGTGTTGCCGGACAGAGCGTGTCCATGCATCGAAACTTGTGTTGAAGTTTGTGGGCGAGTAAACTGTGAACGAATCTGCGCCCGCGCGGCTGCATACATGGATCGGTCCGCGTGCGGCCTGCTTCCGTAGCAACCTACCTACCTATACCATTTCCTCGAGAATTGGTTGATACACAGACGAAAGGAGAGCGAGGGAGAGAGAGAGCGAGAGAGAGAGGCACAGACACACACACACACACCCACACGCACACGCACACACACACACGCACAACCGCATACAGACTGACGCACAGACGCATGCAGACAGACAAACACAGAGCAAGCGCACGCGCACACACTCACACACTAGCCCAGACTGACGGAGGCACGGACAGACACACACACACACACACACACAGACAGAGACAAACACACAAAAGCACACGCACACAACCACACACAGACACACGCACACACACACACACACTTACATATTACACACATACACACGCACATGCCTACACAAATACATACATACATACATACATACATGTGCATACATACATACATACATACATACATACATGCATGCATACACATGTGCGTACATATAGACCGACAGCCACAGATAATCATAGAGATCTTTCGCAGACACGACTGTGTGCAAACAGGCGAACCTCAAGCTTGGAAGCTCAGGTGCCTGCTTCCTCTTCACGGAGCTTGGTCATGAGGAGCCCGCCGAGAAATCGATCAGCGGCCCCAAGGCATGGACACGTGTAAGTGGGCAAGTATAAGTAAGTAAGTAGGTAGGTATGTATGTATGCACCTGTGCGCATGCATGCATGTGTGAAGATATATATATATATATATGTATATGTGTGTGTATGTATGTATGTCAACATGTATGCATGTATACATGCATACAGAAGCACACATACAAAGTCACACAGACACAGACCCGCACACACATACACACACACACACATACATTTTCCGACCCTCGGTAGGAAATGCAGAGTTTCAGGACTTGGAGTGCTGAAAGCCACTGCGAGGTAACGTGGATTACTCGATAATGGGTAAACTTGAACCAAGCCACATGTTTGCAGGCCTTTCTGTCGCGCATCTGCAACACCTGTCCAGGTGTGTGTCGAAAATGACAAGGAGGCCCGCGATCGATTCAAGATCCTGACATCTAAGCCTAGACAGACATGCAACCCGAATTACAAGCGGTTCCCTGTTTGTAGATATCCAACCTGGTCAGCAACAGCTGTGCGCTGTGACATCGGAGTGCAATATTGAAGGATTGGCATGTCTGTTTTGCCCAAAGAGTCCAGCAGGTTCATATTGGCTTCCATAGTTTGTGGAACTTAACACCCTTCGAGATTACCCAGCAAAAACAAGACGACGCGTGGGTGGAATTGTGCTGCAGGCCTCCTATTCAAAGGAGTCCCCAGCATCGTCACCAGAGTAAGCCAGAGCCACCAAAGTCTTCTTCCTCGCCATGATCGCCAGGTTACCCCGACCCTGTTGCCAGTGCCAGAAGCCGTCCTCACACCGGTGACGGAGCCTCCCGTGTGCCTGGCTTGCTTCTTCCTGGTTCTGGGCTTAAGCCCTAATGACCCAGCTTTGTGCTTTCGACTCTTTCGGATACATGGTGTCGTGGAACCTGTTTGCATTGGCAGCGCAGCTCCACGCCTCAACACAAAAGCTGAATTCATGCTGCCCATCTCGAAACCCAAACAACTCTTAACAAATCCGGCTACGAGCGCTTGATAAGTGAAATCGGCTGCCAGAAGGTCAAGAAGGTCGACGACACCGGAGCCTTGGCTGTCTGGAGTTTCGGTATTTCGGGTTTCACTCTTCTGGTTGTTCAAGGCTCTAGTCTGTTGTTGGGTATTGGATGGCATGGCTTTTGCAGGGTCTGGACTTCGGGTACTTATGTCCTGATATGCAGATGCTCCCTGCTACCGGGGACCTTGATAACGGACCTGCTTCAAGGCCTGCTGCTCGCGTGGACTTTGGGGGAGCGGTTCCACGTTAGCTATCTACATTCTACATGGCATGAAAGACAGGACTGAGAAGAAGCGGCTCCTGCCCAAGTCCCCACAGGCGGTTTGGGATTCCGCAGTTCCTGCAGTCGGGGTAGTGGCAGCTTCGGATCCCATTTGCCACCCGAAGCCTCTTGAAGCTTGGACCTCAAGAAACCCTGCAATTTTTCGTGTCCTGCCGCCTGCACATCAGGAGCGGCACCAGCTGAGGCCAGTTCAACAGTGGAAGTGGCGGCAGCGAATTCTAGTTTCAATTGCTGCTGCCGCTACTATTTCCATTGCTCTTGCAATTGCTACTGCTCTTTCGATTTCTGTTTCTACCACGAAACGTCGACCACAGTTGAGGGATGATAAAGACCCTGAGAGCATTTTGTAAAGTAGATACATCCGTTCGTTGAGAGCAACCGGTAAAACGATAAGAGTAGACAAAGAAAATGACGGTTCGTTACTTTTGCTCAGATCATACCAAGCCCCATGTCCTGTAAATCGATGAGAGCAAAAAGAAACGACAACCATGTTAAGGGACAAGCAAATGGGTGGGGGATTTTCACGCGCCCTCAATTAGTAAATTACTATTACTACTAGAACGAACGAATTACCAGAATGACCAACAACAGTATTACCATTGCGACTCCTCATCCTGCTTCTCATCGTCCTCCAGCTGCTTCTACTGATACCGCTCTTGGCTGTGCTAGTTTTGCTGCCTACGGCTGCAGCTGCCACTGCCTCACTGCCACTGCCACTGCCGCTGCTGCTGCTGCTGCTACTGCTACTGCTACTGCTACTGCTGCTACCACTGCCACAACAACAACAACTACTACTACTACTGCTGCCACTACCGCTTCTTCTTCGTCTTCTACTACCACGACGACGACGATGACTTCTGGCAGTGCTTCTACTGCCAGTACCTCTAGTACTCCATTGCTACAGTGTTTTCTGATTGCTGGGGCCACGACTACGATTCTCTTGACCACTGGGACCACCGCCATCTCCACTAAGAGCGAAGGTGGGCAGCAGCAGCATGAATAATTGCAGCTGTGGCAACACCTATAATGCTATCCATGATGCCCGAGGTGCACGAGCAGAAGCATTGTCGTGGTGGGTTATCACAGCTCAGTAAGCATGGTAGAGCTAAGGGCGATGCGACTTTGCCGACTCGCCGACGCTATCAAGAACGGAGGATTACTTCAACTGTTTGCCCTTGTGTGAGGTCCTGGGGGCTGGTGCCGGTGCCGACATTACCACAAGCGGCAACGGTGGCAACCACATGGTCTACGGTCTGGTTGGCGCGGGACCCGAGCTTGATATTGTCTGGGGGTTTCGATGAGGCTGAACCGAAAATCGGGCTTAGATCTTGGCGGTTTGGTGGCTTTTGAGTAACAAGACAACGGCAGCTGCTTGCATCTGGTAGCTTGCCACACCAGAGAGGCTTTACAGGAAGCCTACTTTAGACATGTTATATGTCATGTCATCATGAGCTCCTGGATGCACTTATAGTGATCTCTCAATCTCGCGACAGTTTCTGCGTCCGCATCACTCGTTTGCATAATGCCTTGTGGTGCTAGGCCACACTGCCTGCCCTTGACGGTTATGATCGTCAAGCAGTGCAGTGTCCTGTCCAGTACAAGAAAGCAACACGTTTTCTTTCGACGCCCTTCCAAGGTGGCATTGCCGGAGCCATGGCTGTTGCTGGCGGTGCATACTACTTCATGTCCGGAGGAAAGAAGAAGGCGCTACATGGTCTCAGACCGGCGAAAGTCATCAAGCCGAATGTAAGCTGCACAGGGAGTGACACAGCCAGTTCAGTCCTTCTTACAGAGCCTCCGTCGTCGAACCGAAAACCCAAACGGGCTAAAGTTAATGCCTTCTTTCGGGGCAGGCGAATTTGTTAGTCCCTGCGGTTTTAGCCTATAACGCCCAGATCCCACTCCGAATCGGCTCTAGATCAACTGTATGTGTAGAAGACGCGCCTGAGGAAATCGAAGGAAACCCTAGCGAGGAACCTAATGACCCAGATATCGTTGCTAGTGGTCGTAGTAGTCGTCGTCGTCGTCCTCGCCGTCGTCGTAGTAGTAACAGTATTCGTAGTAGCGGTAGTAGCAGCAGTCGCTGTAGTCGTAGTTATAGCCGTATTTGTCATGTCATTAGCATTAGCAGCAGTAGCAGCAGCAGCAGCAGCAGCAGCAGTAGCAGCAGCAGTCGGAGCAGTAGTAGTCGTAGCACCGGCAGCAGTAGCAGGAGCATAGCAGCCGTGGTCGTACTTGCCGTCGTGCTTTTTTGTTTGTTTCCGGTGTTATTGCCATCGCCTTTGCTGTGGCAGTGGTGGCAGCGTCCTATTGGGTGGCTTTGGGCCTTAGAACCGCTGCAGACGGAGACCTGGCCGTGGTACTGTAGCAGTTCCTACTGTGATATCTCCATTGTCCCTAGGCTAACTATAACTAGGCATTCCCCCGCTTCGGCTTGAATATAGGTGCATGACATCCCCACACGTGGTTCACTGGGGAGATTTGTTACAAACATGTTTTGGGAGGCGAGACCTGGCAAGGGTAGACACTTACAGGCAGACCCGCTTTAGAACAGCAGGAACCTTCATTCCCAGTTTTGTTTGCAGTCGAAGAAGTCGAAGCGTGGCGTCGGCGTGGACAAGGCAAGATCGGACCGAGTAGTTTGTTTTTGTTTTTGTTTGTTTTTATCATGCTTCGTTAGAGCGAGCTTGGGATTCACTTTTGAAGCTTTCACTTGGGCCTGCTGTGATCGCCCTGTGAAGAACGATATCACCGGCCGCGGAGGTCAAGAGCAGTGTGGGGAAATGTGTTGGAACACACGTGAACTGGCAGGAGCAAGCGCCAATGATCGAAGACCGGGATCAAATTGACTCCAGCTTGACAGCACGGGGGAAATCCGAAGATACAGCGCAGAGTGCAGATGGACCCACGCCCGTCTCAGAATGCAGACCTTTACATCAGCACAACTACGAGAACCAAACCCAGCCAGGTGTTTGTTGACACCATCCCTTCGTTCCTGAGCATCTCTAAACCTAGTCAGCTCCATCTTTGGCAGGCATGAGATCGACTTCCGGAGTGACGTTGAGAGGTAGAGCCAGCCTGGCTGGGGTTGTCGGAGTTCGAGCTTCAATGTGCACAGGTTTGTGCGAAATGAGAAATGCAGGACGTAGCATTTTTTTCTCGCAGGTTCGATGTCAATGATGTCACGAATAGATCGCGAAGAAGATAACTATCAAAGTCTATGTATACAAGAACAGTAATTCATAAACTGAGAGGCAGAGAGAGAGAGGGGTTTTATGCGCGGCTGGCATGTGTTTGTGTTACCACTGTTTGAGAGCTTGTTATCGAGGGGGACTGTTGCCGGGACCTCAAGAAGGGAGTGCACATTAACATAGACGCCGAGTAGCGGCCCCTAAACCCCCCAAGAGGGAGGTGCCCCTGCAGGACCCCATGCCCTAGAGAGAGGGAGAGGGAGAGAGAGCGAGACCTTGCAGGAGGCCCCTGCGCAACCGGCTCCATCTTCAAGTGTGGCCGTCACACCGGGCTCTGCTGGCACGGTGTAATGCACTGGTAGACGGCTTGGGTCATTCAACATATGAAGTCAGGTTCAACCTTGGCCTGCAATCTCCTGCAAAGCGAGTATTGCGAGGGGATGGGGTTCGGTCGAAGCTTAAAACCCTAAACCCTAATTGAAAACCCTAAAGCGTGCCCCTGCCAGACGAGAGTGGGTCTTCGGGCGGTATCGCCTCTCACAGTCTGTCCATCAGTGGCAGTGAAGCCAACTGCTGCCTGTTTTCATGCGAGACGTTGCGGGCTTTGGTGGTTTTTGACTATGTAGCCTTTTGACCTCCTCACTTCACCCAGCTCTTCCAAGCTTGCGAGATACTTCATCACTTGGTGCCTCATAAGTAACAATGCTTGCCAGGCTTTGAGCAGTACCAGGGCGTGAGCATGTATCCTATGATGGGTCAGCAGGCCCACATGACCCCCGTGCCACAGCTGCTCGTCCTGACATCTTCGGGGCTTCTTGAGAAGTACTCGTTGGGTTTGGTCGGGTCACGGTATAGTTTGCCGAGCTCATCAGGGTCGCAAAGCCAACGGAGCCACGAATTGACGGCCGCAAGTGGCCCGAGGAGTACACACTGGTTTGCATAATGTTTTGCTCGGTCTTGTTTGCTTCTCATATGTTAGTAACCCGAAACAGTGGTATTTGTATCATTTGCACACCGCGCCGGCAGCTTTGAAGCTTGAGTGCCACTCGGCACTTCAAAGTGGGTTCCAGCATCCTGCAACCCACGATGTAGTTGAGGACTTGGCGTGAGGGATCTAGCTGCTCTTCGGGGGTCAGCATATGTTGGCCAATCGATCCATTCCCATTTGTCGGAGTGGATCTCGGAATCCATCTGAAAATGATCTCCCTCAGGCCGCTGCCTTCTGTTTGAGTAGGAATGTCAAATTGTCATTGCACTTTGACTTTAACTCATAAGCACAGCATAAATGCAGTCCTGGTTCGTTCACGAGACATTTGGGCCGGGGGGTGTCATCGGATGGCTTAGAGCCTGCAGCCCACCGAACAAAATCCAATAGATGCGGTTGAATGGAGACACGTAGGAAGCAAGCCGAAATTAAAGTTCCAGTGTGGAATTTCTGGATGAAGTGCATTCAGCCGTACCAGAGAGAGCAATTGAACTTTAGGTTTGCTTGGGATGAGGAGGCAGCACGCATTTGCTGAGGTACTACCAGCAGGTCCCGAACTACCAGCCGATGTACTACCAGTACCCTGCGGCGCAGGCCAAAATTGCGGTGCACACGGTTTTTGGAGTTTTCGATTTATGGGTTTCGAGCGGCTTGTCTGGGCTTTGGTATAGGGTTGAACCTAGCGTCCCACGCTAAATCATGCTTCATGTCACGAGTGCCGGCCGTAAGAGTCCAAAACTACTGAAATACCAACCTCCCTGCAAGATACGGCAATAATCATAACTTGTCGGAAAGACCAAGCCGTTGGAATATATGGGAAGTACAGTGCAGGCGATATCCTCTCATATGCGCTTGAAGTCGGATGTAGAGTAGGGGCTATGTCTAGAGTTGCCCATGAGCGACTCTGTGTACCTAGAGCGCGTTGCATCTCTGCAGAGCTGCAGCTACAACCTAAAGCAAGCATAGCTTATACAGTAGATGGCTCATCCCCGGCCTCAAAAAAATTGACCGGACCTGACTCCTGAATCCACCCTTCGGATCGGTTGTGGGTACGGCAGTGTGTGCTAGGACTAGCAGGTGATAAGCCTAGAGACTCCTGGAGACATGTAGAGTGGGGGGGGGGTCTGTGACGGCTGCTGGGGGAGAGGCTGCTACGACGATGTATTGAACAGCCGCTGGCTCAGACCGAAGACGAGCGTTGAGTTTGGTGCTGTTTCTCCGGGATTTTCCGGGTCTATGGGCTTATGATATTCTGGGCTGGACATAGACGCCTATACAGCTGTGAATGTGGCAGGAGATCTCCCTTAAGATGAATCTGATAGCCGCTGCATCCTTGTTTCCGGAGACCTTCTCATGCATGAATGCCAATGCGAATCTGAAAGTCGCTGCGTCCTTTGTCGCGGACCCGGGAAGGAGACTCCAGAGCGTTGAGAAACGCTTATAAACCCCCATGATAAAAGACCTTATCAAGCCACCCCCAAACCTAAGCCCTGAACCCAAACCCTACTCCCTAAATCTCTTAGCCCCCAGACTCTCTAAGTCGTCTGAATGGACTCACTGCAGCCGAGGTACCCAGAAGAGGAAGCTTTTGAGCGTAAGCTTCGGCAGATGCCTCAAAGGAGTAGCACATGCCGGAGAGTTTGCCAAAGGTGGCACCATGCTGGCTTTGCCGAGGTACTGGTCTATGGGGTTGAAGGTTGAGGATTTTATGGTATGTGTCGAAGATCGTTCGAGCCACTCTTTTAGTACACTGGCCTCCTGTCGCATCGTCGCACTATTTTCGTTTTTGGTCGTCAGGTGAGAACCAGAAACTCGAGGGATAGATTGTAGGGAGTGGTCAGCTTGGGTCACCTGCACAGAATGATTTTGCATCTACTTGCTTTCGCTCAGATGGTCCTGCATACAGCCATGGCTTGAAGTGTACTTTTCCGAATCCAGACAGCTTGAAGAAAGCCCATGCTGGGACTTGATGGGCCCTTTTACTTTTGTTGTCAGCTGTATGTCAACGCACTGTTCCGCAAAACCCTTCGGAGAGCCTCTTGACTGTGACCTACTTGCAGATGTGGCGGTATCGTTGAGCTTCCGCATCTGCCTAGTTCCCGATGTGTGCTACATGCAGCTATCGCATTTGTTGTTTTGGCGGCTTTTGAGGCAGATGTAGGGTGTCTGGATGACGACGCCGTCAAGAGACAAAACAGCGAGCTTGAACATTGTCCATTCAGTCCGTTACAGCATGATGCCTACAATCGGATTTTGTTAAAATCTCATGTGCAAGCTTCCGAGGGGCTCTAAGCAATATCTGGGTTTTGGATTCAAGTGTTCAGCGTGACGGTGTCAAGGACTACGGTTCCAGCATCCCGAGTGAGAAACTGTATAGTTTGGAGCTTCTGGCAATCAATGGTTGCATCGTGGCGATGTGCTTTGGTGAGGCAAAGGCTAGAAGACTTCCAGCCTTGAATTAAGTATGCCAGGAGTCTTTATGTCTTATGTGTTCCGCAGGCCGTTTCCATCAGGGCTAGAATCTCTGTGTGAGTCTTGCACCCTGCGCACACGGCCCAACTTCGCCTTTGCGGATCTGCAAGGTGTCTTGGACACACAAAATGGGCTAGTTTGCTTCTCGGCACACAGGGAATCTTCGAGCTCCTTGCAACAGCCACTTTAATGACGTATGTTTGCGCGCGTGTTTGTGTGTGTGTGTGCGCGTGCGTGCACGAGGCCGCACGCTCTGTGCAACCGACTTGGCTGACAGGCTCAACCAATCAATGGAGTCGTGCAGGCGCCTACCGCGTCCACATCTCACATATTTCCGGTTCCAACCACATGCAGCGCTTAGTCCACGCCGGCCGGTCCAAACAGGCCTGTTACGGCCCGTTGGTCTTACAAGAGTCGCCCCAATTGCTCAAAGCTTGGTCTGGTATATGCTCGCTCCCCTGCAAAGACAGTAAATCAGTCAATCAGCCGAGTATCATTCATTATGGTCGCTGTCGACACTCCTTACCCGCGAGCTTTACGGGCATGTATTAGCGAAACCCGACTGCTGCTCCGCCCTGGACCTCGGGATTTGTCTACAGCATCATAGATCTTAGGCCCTAGAGTCCCTAGAGACCTTATGAGCCATGTACCACGGGAGCCGACAGTCTGTCAACCAGGTGAAAACTATGCTTCCTGGCCTTTGCATTGTCCTTGCCTTGAGCGGAGCCATCACTGGCTTAGCCACTGGGCTGCGGCAGTCTTCTTTTCGGTATATATTCATATAATATGCATGGTCCGGCCTGCTGGCAAATCTTCCCTACATGCTGGCGGTTTCGACCTGCCACGGTCGACGCAAAATTGTCACTTAGATCTTCCCCATTCATCCCTGCAGCTGCTTGACGACCAGCGAAGTCCATGTCAACATGTCGTGGCACATCGGCTGAACAACACCTGCACTTAATCAGTCGAAGCCTTTTTGGAAAAAGCGGCAGCTGGATCGACTGCATGATGAGCTTGGAAGGGACCCGAATTACCCCGGCAAGCTGCCAAATCCTCCACAAAGCAAAACATGCCATCTTCCCAGGCGCACGCAGGCTTGTTTTGTTCAAGCCGTGAGGCTTGAGCAAACGATTCCAGGGCAGTGGTCATGCTAAGAACGCCCAGCAGACGCACACACTCTCGTCAGTCGTACCGGCAGAGGATTCAGCGGGACTGTTTTACCCTTATTGCTTAGGAGAACTAAAGTTCTACTCAAACCTTCCAAGTCTCTAGCTCTGACCACTGAGGCTGACACTTCCGGGGTCCCGAGTGTACCATCTTGCGCCAAGATTGGCGTAGCGTACTCGGAAGACCGCGCCCCTTGCGCCGCAACAAGCTGACTCAAGTCTCAAACCCGGCTCGTCTGTTAAGTCCATCACAGACTCAGAGCAGTTAGACTCAAGGCCCAGTGTTGCGGCTCTAAGAGGTTCGAGGCTTGAACGTACAGGCATGTAAACTACTCCGATCCTTCATACCGATCTGTGGCGTGAAGGAAGTGTGTCGCCGTGGGTTCCTTAAAACAATGTGACCAATGTGAGTTGGGGTGCAGAGTGTGCGTAGTGTAGGAGGCTTTGGGCCTAGGTTTAAGTTTTGGGCTTGGGATTGATAAATGCATAAAGTGTAAAGGGTTGCGATGCCGGTGGGGCAGAAAAGCCTGCAGGACACCGCCCGTTCTCTCCCCAATGGTGCCTACCTCGCAGACGCCAAGATGTGCCAGCAGCTGCTCGGCAGCTTCAATCCCTCAGGGGTTTAGGGTGTCGGGTTTAGGGAATCAGCTGATCAGCAGAGTCTCTGGGTTCTAAAAAAGGATTTAGGGATGCCTGAAATAGAAACTTGGGCTGCTTAGCTATAGCTATTTGGTCTAGAAATATGTCTAAGCACTGATCAAGTCGAAGCGTGCAAGCTGATCACCCGTGACCGAGAATCCGGGCAGTCGGATTCGCGCCGCATGTGCCTCTTTGCAACCATAGCTGATCCCTGAGTTCTGCTTGAAGCGGTGCGGTTTCTTTTCCACATTATGTCGTGCGAGTGTATCCTTGTTCCAACACTCAGGTTGAGGACAAATTGTTGGCGCTTTCGGCTTTAAGAAACCCCCCTAAACCCTAAACCCTAAACCCTAAAACCCCAATCTCAACCCTCGTCCTGGTGCTTGCTGCAAGGAGTTGCGAGGTGAGGCTTGGCACGCAGATGATCTGGAGCTGTTCCGAGGGTTCAGCCTGGTGAAGGCCGCGTAAGCATCTTAAGATCTGGGTAGTTCTCTAAGTTAGGGTCCCTTTTTGGGTCCTGAATATGATACGGCACCTAATATGTAGGGTACCCAAAAAGGGGGCCCTAATTTTGACAGCCACCCATATGAGGAGGGAGGAAATTCAGTTCCAGATGGAGGCGGGTTTGTTGGCATCCCGGCCAGCTACATCACCCCCTAAAGGATTTGCTACAAAAAAAGGCCTCCAGCTTGTTTTTTCCCCTGGACTTCCGACTCTTCGGTTTGTCTGCCCTTGATTGCAACAGAGAGGGATGCGACGCATCAAAAGCTTGACCCAGGTGCTGAGACTCTCTGGGTCCTTGGGTACCTTTCAATGTGTATATCTATCATATGAGAGTGGTTCAATGTGCTCTATCCTAGTCGAGTCTAGTCCAATCTAATATGAATCTAGTCTAACCTTGCTTAATTTGATCTGGTCGAAGCTAGTCTAATTTTCACTTCATCTAATCTAATCAAATGCACGCTAACTGTTAGCAAGTCTCGTTCGCACATCAGATCTACTAGCTTGTGCTGTTCTGTTTACTGCTGAATTTAGATTCTTCTCTGTTCTGTTCTATCCTGTCATAGCACATCAGATAACATCCCTGACCTCCAGCAAAGGATGCCAGACTGCACCCACTTCACTTGGAAGGAGGACTCCTTCCCAGGCGGTACCCAGAGCTGCACTTGAGTTGTCCAAGGCCCCGGATGTCTCACCGCGAGGAAAGCAGCATCGGCTTTTCGGATCAAGGTTGTTGAGTAAGGCTTGAAGTTCCGGGTGTGGGGTTGGTTCGGACCTTTGTTAAAGACTTTCAGTTGGGGTTTGCTGCAATATTCCGTCCATTTCTTTCCATAGGGTTCTGGCTTCTATGCAAGCTCGAAAGTCGCTCAAAGCCGAAAAAGGGTGAATCCCCCGCAACCGACAGCACAAATCATTGCTCCCAGTCCCAGCCGTGAATCAGCGAAGCGAATTGCGAATGCCTTGGGAAGCGGCTTTTCCCACATTAAGCCAGGCGCAGCGCGCGATCGAACAGTGATGAAGACCGGTCCAGAATGGCAAGAATCTTCGTAGCTGAAGCCCTACAGCGTAAGTGGTGATAGTGATATGCTTAAGGCTTAAGGCTAAAGCTGCGGACACTCTGGCGGCCTGGAGTAGCTGGACGGATAGAACGCAGAGAAAACCGAAGAGGCCTGAATGATTGGAGCAATTTCATGGACTGAGGTATAGGATGGTAGAAACATCGTAAGGATTACTCTTTTTCTCAAGCCCTAGGTGTTCTTATGCCCGAATTCCCTAAAGTCTGAACCCAACACCAATCTTAGTTGAAACTAGGCCGTCAACCCTAAACCATATCCCAAGCCCAATCCTGAAAACAAGAAGTGCCCTCAGCCATCCTAAATCCCTAAGCCTTTCTTCTTAAGGTGCCTGCTACCTCTTCAAGCAGCTGGGAAAGGAGGAGCCTGATGCAAAGGCGATTAGCGGCCCGAAGGCTGGGCTGTTGTTGCTTGCATTGGGGCTATAGGCTTCTGTCGTGGTTTAAGGGTTAGGGCTTGGGGGTTGGGGGGGGGGGGGGGG